CAAGAGCTTGTTGCATGGGCCTTTTCATGTTGAGCTCAAGATTCCCCATTTTTTCCACCTGTAAGAACTTGGAAGTGCTCATTGTATCATTTTATTACTTTCTTACAATTAATTTGTATTCAAAGTACACTATTTTGTTGCCTGAAGAAAATCAGCAGTACAGGTCTCCCCAAGAAGAGTTGTAAACCTGTGGGTCAGGTGTCGAGCCACTGGGCCTAACATTTACGCCCCAAGCTCCGACCCACCTGCCATACATGCCGAGGCATCCTCCATCAAAAACCTGTCAAGTGGAGATTCGTGCCAGATGCCATCAGCATAGTGTTGCCGCAAGGGAAGGTGAAGGTCACCTTGAGGTGACAGCCCTGTCACCTTGAGTTACCTTGATGTGACCTCAAGGTATTTTCCAAATTAGGAAAACGAAAGAGAATCAGCTTGCAGCAAGTTTGCAGCCACGTAGAATCATAAATATATCATGTAGTATTGTAACATACATCTGAGTACTGGTCAACAGAGGGTCCCTGTGGTTGACTGAGGTGACCTGTCAACTAAATATGCATGGGTGAGCCAAGAAGTAATTTTAGGGTATTGAGTTGACAGGCAATTGGCAAGTTACGAAAAAATCATCCATACAGAGGGGCGAAACATGGGGTACATACAGTGACTCACTATAAGTTTTGCACCACATAAAAAATACTCTATCTTCCTCAAGTTCTAATGACTAGTTACCATATAAATATGATAATATACAAATATTCTATATACATCTTTGACATGCATATGAGCTCTGGATCTCATTCTTTGCTTTATGTAGAAAAAAGTGAAAAAATGAGGTTTTGACAGCTCCATAAATATGACGTGTGAGAGTCTGAAAAAATATGAAGAATTAAGTACTACCCTACTCAAGTATCAGAACTTTGAATCATTTCAATTGAAGTAGTGGTTGTTTAGATATAGGTGTAAGGAAGGGGCTTGTTTTGGGTAGATCAAAAATGAGGTTTTGACAGTTTTACAAATACTTCATGTGAGAGTTGGAAAAATATATAGTACTAGCCTACTAAAGTATACAGAACCTTGAATCATTTCAATTGGAGTAGTGGTTG